ATATATATTCATGTTATATATCCAATAACCTCCATCATGGCATAGCAAGCATTTTTTGTATAGGGCAACTGTATGTGGACCGTCTCTCTAAATTTCACCCTTGTGTAATAATTTTCACAAATTTAATACAATGTTAACCCTCAAAAAAAAAATGGTCATCCAAGTTTTTACCAAAGAAGTGTTTTATTTGGTGTGAATCTTAAGTTGAGTTTGCTTTGTTAGCAACTTATTTCTTTTTTGCCCATATATTTTACAGGGGTTTCTTATTCTCATCGCATAGATAAGAGTAATGAAGTTGTGATCATAACTAGTGATAATCTTTTACTAGACCATATAAACAACAAATAATTGACTACTGATAAGTATTTTTCAAAATGAGGATTGATTATGAATTTGTTGTCTTTAAATGATTTAGCATTCTATCTTAACAACAGTAGAAATATTTCTACAGATAGTCTATGTTATTATATGTAGTACCATTTAAGAGGTGTTAAAAGAATTCTTAAATGGTACTACATATAATAAATGGTCGAAATTTCCATTGCAGTTTCTAACAGGTGGATTGTGAGGGTGGTGGTCTTAAAATATGGTTGTTGCTTAAGCTACGGCCATAAAAGAAAGACAGAGATTAAAAGATAAATTTCATATCTATGCTGGAAAACACCACTAAATAATTGTAAAACACAGATGGACAACATCAATTCCCAACAAAATATAATAATAATCCATGAACCTAAAATTCAAATACCCAAGAATGAAGTTACGCTCATGATTATTTTAATGGAATTAAGGCCACAATATTTTTCAGCAGTTACATTGGCTTAGTTGACTAGTATCAAGTATCTTATGTGAGGAAATAACTAGAATTGAAGGTCATTTGAAACAATTTAATCATAGAATGAAAAAGTACATGATAATTTTTTGAACAACAAATCAAGTTTTTATTTTTTGGGAGTCATATTATAGAGAAAATAGCCCTCAAAACATTCTTAAGCAAATTACTGAATCAAAGTTTAAATACAAGGAAGTGGTTTTGTGGTTCCCAACCACCAATTTATACACAAACAAAGAAATCCAGATCATGAATAATGGTAAACATTTTGCTTAACTCAACTTATAGAACCAAAGTAAAAATCAATTTATTTGAGAGACTAGGTGGAAGCTAAAAGTACCTCAAATTCGGTGCCTCCAATCCTCAAAAATAAGAGATCAAACATGCAATGACAGTAAGCATAAATGAAAATGGGATTGAGAAAGAGTCATGCAGTTAGCCAATTGAAAGTTATATAAACCATCCATCAATAAGAAAAGAATATAGAACAAGTTATTTCGAAGTCAAACAAAGCGGCATTGTACTACATGAGTAATAAATATTAACATGAAATTGAGCCACATGGTACTACATTCACATCAATACGTGTCATGCGACAAAAACCATCTCCAAATTGAGCCATAAATATTAAATTACATTCACATTTGTCTCATACAACAAAGCCATCCCCAAATTGTGCTGATTCAATGAGTAAGTCCCAAATTGTGTTGATTCAATGAGTAAACAAAAGCTTCAATTTGTCTTATGCAACAAAAGCCATCCCCAAATCATAACTACATTCACATCAATACAAAATTGTCTCATATAGCAAAATCCATCCCCAAATTGAGCTGATTTATGAGTCTATACACTTCTCAAATACAGCAAAAGCCATCCCCAAATTGAGCTGATTTATGAGTCTATACACTTCTCAATCAATACAGAGTTGTCTCATACTACAAAAGCCATCCCCAAATCGAGCGGATTTAAGAGTGTATACACTTATCAATCTATCAACAACTTCAGGATAGTTCAACCATTGGCTTTAGCCTCACCTTAGTTTTTAGCCTCACCAGTAATTAACACTTAAAAAAAAGCAAACTCAACTTAACAAAAAAAGATTCACATCAAATAGAACACTTCTTTTAATTAAAAATAAAATAAAATTGGATGACCATTTTTTTCTGAGGGTTAACATTGTATTAAATTTGTGAAAATTATTACAAATGGGTGAAATTTAAATAGACAGCCCACATTCGGGTGCCCTATAGAATGCCCAAAAAATGCTTGCTATGCAATGACGAAAGTAGCGCGAAGGTTTTTGGATATATAATATGAACATATATAGAAAAATTTGTGCATCAATTTCTACAAATTTTTCAATTGATCCGAAAATCACCTTAGGGTTTTTCGAAATGGATGAAATATGAACGTTTTGAATCAATTAGTAGATTGTTTGGTTCTAATTTGAGAGAGAAAATTAAAGAAGGGCAGATGGGTGATTTAGGGTTCAATAACATGAGGTCTCGATGCAAAAACCTCACTGAAATAGTTATCTTTGTGTTTGAAATGGGCATCAGGGTGGATTTACAAAGGATCGTCATGCTAAAATCAATTGAATGCATCTTTACCTGAAGATGATACATGAAAAACTTTGATGAAGGTTTTGAGC